GCAGAGTCTATCTCCAGTTAGAAATTCACACCAGTGAATAGCTTGCCCTTGTGATCACGAACGTCATAATCTTTCAGCGCGAAAGCGCGAACCACCCACGTCACTGGCGCCGAGTGGACAAGCTTTCAACATGGGTAACTTTAACCGCCTATAACTGGTCTGAGATATGGGTAGCAGTTTTGATTTCCATATTTGTAGCCAGAACTCCAAACAGTACTGATATCATCAGATCTTTTTCAAACATTCACGGGATGCTGGAGCCATTCACTGGTCAGAGGGGAATGAAACACATCACCGCGAATATTGGTGACCCACTGACTCCAGCACACTCGGAGCCCTTACAAATAATACACTTTCCACAACAGAAGTGCTAGCCTTACACGTTTTAAAGCTCAGCTTTTTAGTTCTTCCTTTTGGACTGCCCTCTGAGCTTGGTCGTAGCTGTTGTATGGATATTAATGTTACCGATGTTGCAGGAGCTGAGCAAGTGATCTTTACATGCAGTGGGGCTCTTATATCGTCCCGCCACGTACTGACAGCAGCTCACTGTGTGAGAGAAGTCAGGAATGAACTGTACTATCACCGGAAGCATGCAAGCGAATAGGATACAAGTATTCAGTTTTTCAGTGCTATAGAACTCATAGCGTCAGCTTTATGCAAACTCACGTCATTCAGAAATACGAATAAGCTCCGCGCCCCAGTCAGCAATTTCACGGTCGCTATCGGAAGTGTTTGCAAGTATCTACTACTGGTGTGCCCGAAGAATATACCAAAAAAAAATAGCTAAGGTGAGACATTTTCGTGTCAATCACATCCCTTTGAGGTGAATATATCAGTATTCCGCAGAGCCCTCATGCATGATCCACGCCGGCAAAGCTGACTTTTTGCCCAACAATGGTCCACCGCTTTCCGATAGGCAGAGTGAGATACGAGAAGTAGCCTATAAGGAAATGCTCGAATTTACTCAGAGCGCGCTCTAGTAAGAACTGGCTTTCCTTTCAGGTACACGTTGTAACGTGTAGTCAGCCCTATGCTCAGTCCGATTGCGCCGCATTCCAATTGTTACCATTGAACGGACGGATCTCCTCGATGCTATGATCTTCTTCACTGCTTCTGGAGCATGCTGATGGAGCATACTGCCTTTATGGTGAAGAGGAGATAGGCGTGCTGGCATGTCTCACTGGGATGTGAACTCGGCTGCGATTCCGGTGGCATATTGTTGCGGGAAACGTTGATCGCAATTTGTCGCGTTGTTGCGTATGGTGCAGCCATGCGCGGCAAACTCTCAATGTGCATTTTCGCTTGTAGCAGCGAAATTGATATGAATTTGAACAAAGACGGCACCATGATGGACTATATCAAATCAATTTCTTTATACCTTGGCACTCATATTGCACCACACAGCAACTTGTACGTTGCGAACGGTGTCGCTGACCACGCCCTACAGCTTTACGATTGTATTATCATGAATAAAAAGGACTGAGTCTTCGCCGTTGATCAATTTCTGTGTGGGACGCAACACACAAATGTATATATTAGGTTGTCCGGAAAGTTCTCAGCGTTTTGGGTGTTTCACTTTAAACGATCGTAACTTTTTAATACTCATCGGATTTAATCGAAATAGGCACCATTCGAATCAGCACACTTTTGCCAATGTGACAGCAGTCGAGAAATCCCATAAAAGGAAAAACTGGGTGGTCGAGAATCCACGAAATCTACGAAGGTCTTTTTTGCCTGGTCTTAATTGATGAAGTATTTTTCAGCAAGGAAGTTCTGAAAATGTCTGAAAAGGTGACAGTCGGTTGGTGAAAGGTCTGGAGAATATGGGTGAGGTAGAACTTCAACCCCAATTCGTTCAATTTATGGATAGTGATTTGTGAAACGTGTGGGCGGGCGTTGTCATGCAAAAGAATCGGACCCTTTCTTTTGATAAGTGTTGGCTGCAGCTGACAATATTTTCGGTACATTTGGTCGGTTTGTTCACAGTAGGGTTCTGCTGTGATGGTTTGGCCTGGTGATAAAAAGTTATAGTGGATTACAACAGCCGATGACCACCAAACCTGACCAGAATTTTTTTTCGTGAGGGTTCGGCTTTGAAAATTACCTCGGTGGTTCGTCAAATCCAACCACTGTCCGGAACGTCTCCTGTTATCATACATGATCCATTTTTCATCACAGGTGACAAATCCGTTCAAAAACGGGTCAATTCTTTTGCGCAAAAGCAGTGAAGAAGGAACCTCGAGACGTGCCGATTCCTGCCGGTCACTCCGATTGTGGGGCACCCAATTGTCGAGTTTTTTCACCTTCCCAATGCGTTTCAGACCATCTGCAACAGTGGATTTGCCAACGCCTAGCTTTTCTGCAATCTCTCGAACTGTTTGGGATGGGTCAGCCTTCAAAATCCCCTCAAAATCCTCGTCAGATATTGCTTTAGGTCGACCGCTATGAGGTTCATCTTCAAGGCTGAAATCTCCAGAACGAAATTTGTTGAGCCATTGCCGCACAGTGCTTTCTCTAGCACTATTGGGCCCCCACACCTGGTTAATTTGTTGAGCTGTTTCGATTGCGGATTGCCCCAATTTATAGTCGAAGAAAAATCGTCCGAAGTGCTCTTTTCACATGCTTGAAAAAATCTTGAAAAAAAGGGGTTTATCAAGCAATGGTGAAACGGCAATTATACCATCAGATAGCGCAAGAAATTCTCTACAGGATGTGCTACTGAGAAGCAAGGCAGAATGAGTTTTTAATCAGCAGTGAATGTACAAAAAATAGGTGCACAAAACGCTGAGAACTTTCCGGACAACCTAATAGGAGTTTTTGAAGCTGTTTTGTTATGATAACTGCTGTTTAACGCCGCAGTTCGCGTTCCGAATGTTATCACAAGAATGCTGAGTTATGGGCAAAAGTCGTGCCCCAGGCGGGAGTCGAACCTCACGCTTTCCGGGCGAGTGCGCTATCCGTTACGCCACCAGGGCCGCTTTTACCCTCTCAGCTTAACGGCTTTTATGCCGTAGCCTTACAGCACTCACACGTTTAACTTGGTGAGCCGGTCAGCCGTAATCGTTAGATATCGGCATGGAACCGCGAGGCCGAAGGCTTTACAAGTTTTTGAAGCTGTTTTGTTATGATAACTGCAAAATTAAGCCACCAGGGCCGCTTTTACGGATAGCGCACTCGCCCGGAAAGCGTGAGGTGCGGGTTCGACTCCCGCCTGGGGTTCGACTTTTGCCCATAACTCAGCATTCTTGTGTAACCGGGAGTGTTTTACTATGCACGCGAATCTGGTACGAATTTACCGAAGGCTCTATTGGGCTGGGCGGGAGTCGATCTGGTCCTTGAATCGCTCGCTTGGTAAGCGCGCCACTTGCCACTAGCCTCCTTGTCCTTGTCTTATCATTACCCCAACATTTTGACATTTTGCTAATGGGGTAAGTTGGTCTGTGACAGTAAATATTGCAGTGACAGTAACCCGCTTACTCATACTTTGTACAGCTGGTTCCGCTAGGCTGTCACTTGTTCTTCTGCTAGAGACGGAGCGCAGGAAAACAAAGCCGAGTTACGGGAGTGTAACGGGAACGTAGAGAACACAAGAAGATGAGGACCTGGAATAGAGAGCGCACCTCTTGTTCGTTCCTGGATTAGTTTTCCTGAAAGAAGGTTCGTCCGGCTGTGTATACGACATATTTCCCGCGGTGTAGCAAAGGTGGGTTGCCTCTGTAAGTCAGTTTACTATGGGTTTATAAGTCCCATGATTTGTAGGAATGTCCGCGATTGGTTTGACTCTCCCCCCTCCCCCTTGAGAAGAAGGTGTTTAGCTGTCGAAAAAGCTAAACACCTTCTTGTGGGGAAATGGGGAGAATCAAAGCTGTCCTCCTTCGGAAGGTATGAAAATATAGCGTCGCATGAGCCAGTGAGCACGGTACAGCATCGTTAACGTGTGTAACCCATGGGGGGGGGGGGTACTTGGCCGCTGGGCAAAGGGGGGGGGGTCATATACGCAGGTCGGTGAGCACCGAACAGCACAAAAAAGTCATCGCTAAGTTTGATGGAGCGGACGGGAAGCAGCAGAGGACCCGAATGTAAGGAAGACTACAAGAATATCAAATCAATTGACTAGCAATTTCAATACTTAGCATGGACTCGTGAGTATGTAGATGACTAAATAATACATCTGAAACAGATTTGTGCGTATCGACCTTTCCAAACCCTAAACAAACCTTTGCTCGCATGGACAAGGATCACCTAAACTTAGAAGTCGAACCTTTATATCGCCTTTGCGTAGAAGCGTACGCACGGCGCACACTCGGAAAAAATCAATCGATTATAACCAAATTATGCTTTGACTCAGTTCAAAGGAGATATTTGTTTTGAGGGCATGCTGAAGTTCGCGAACGAGTTTCCGGACGTCAAGCTTTTGGGTGGCTAAGAACCTCGCGCGAAACCTTTTAAAATATCTTGTAAACTAGCGGTCCTCAGAAACTGTAGAGCTCGTTGGAGAGAGAAAAGTCTGGGCGTTCTGATGTGCTTTTGCTTTTGCAAAAAAACTGCGCTTGAAAGAAGTTGATTTCGTATGAAGCATAAAAACCCGCTCGCGATTTATCCCAACCTATCCGAAAATATTTCCCCTCCAAATCCTACCACTGGCTTCGAAGTGGCGGAGGGGCGAAACGGGAATATCCCGGCCAACAGTGGGGGTAGATACCACCTCAAAGGGTTAGCTACCCGAGGATTGGTAAACAAACAAGCTACAACACGCACACAGAGGGTCCGGAGCGGCGCAGAAGGAAGCACGAGCTCTACGTGCACTGGAGCAAACGGCGACCTGAAGGGACCTGCAGACAAAAACCGCCGCAGGATTTGGAGTGCACAGGACGAAAAGCTTTCGAGGCATGGGGACTGTCTACGAGTCTGCACCTACAACTGTCGCACCATTGCCTCGATAGCCGACCATATTAATGGAGGCTAGTAAAAGACTTCCTTTCGATGTCATCGTTCTCCAGGGAACAAAAGCAAAAGATACAGCTACCAGGAAGACCAACGATTCCTCGTCCACCATCGGCTCGAGCACATGGTCGATTCAGTCGAAGTGATCGGCCCGCGACTGGCCATCCTACGTCTACGCATCGACAAGCGCACTTTCGTTAGTATTATCAACTGCTATGCACCGACGTCAACAGCTACGGACGAAGAAAAGGACGCGTTCTACAAGGAATTAGAGGAGATGATAAAAAGGGAACGGTCCTACTACAAATATGTTGTCGGAGACTTTAACGCAGTCATCCATGAGGAAGATGCCAGCGACAGCGCGCATCGGACCACACGGAACCGGAGAAACAAACGAAAACGGCGAACGTCTGATGGACCTCTTAGAGCAATGCAATCTCTTTCACGGAAACAGCTTCTTCACGAAAAAAGAGGATCGGCGATGGACGTGGGAGAGTCCGAATGCAACGACTCACAGCGAAATCGACCACGTTCTCACTAACAGGAAGTGGAGTCTACGTCAGCGTGGTGGATGCATTCCGCACTGGGAGCGAAACCCATAGGCTGGTTAAAGCAAAAGTTCGTCTCCGAGTACGGCTGCCACATTACGACACAAACGCCATGGAGACGGCCGCCGCTCACTACACGTGGCAGGAGGCGCAAGACTTGTCGCAAGACTATACCATGCTCATAGAAGGACTTCGACATTGCGCTATGGCATCGGCTATCACAACAAGGACGGATTCGAAGGCAGGATTGACGACAAGGCTCGCGCACTTCTGCAGCAACGCGCTGTCGTCCATCGTAACCCTGCATCAACACCACTGGAGCGCGCCGTGATCAACAAAGGGTGCCGCATCGCAGTAAAGGAGTCTCAAACGATGTCGTCGAGACATCAACGACTCTCGCTCGGTCACCACGGTTATGCGAGACGCGATGGGCAGACCGCAGACATCGAGAGCGAGGATTGAAGAGATCGCCGTCAATTTCTACACGGATCTCTACCGATCAACGATGCCAGTTCCACGCATACCTACACCTACGCAGGACGCGGCCCCACAGATTGAAGAGTGGGAGGTGGAACACGCCTTGCGTCAAATGAAGCCGGGGAAGGCACCAGGACCTGACCGCATCTCAGTAGACTTTCGAAGTCGGCACCGTCATAAAACAGCTCACCAGGCGCTATAACAGGTACATGGACGCGCAAGAAATCCCGGACCAGTGGAAGACGTCAAGCACGGTTCTTCTGTTCAAGAAGGGCGAGCGCGACTTAATGAAGAACTACCGCCCCATCGCCCTCCTCTGTTGTTGTTCACGAAGGTAATCCTCAACAGGCTCGAGAAACAACTGGATGACTATCAACCAGTGGAACAGGCCGGGTTTCGCAAGGGCTTCTGTTGCATGGACCACATCCATACTGTCACGCAGTTGATTGAGCGAACCAAGGAATACAAGCAGCCGCTCCTCCTCTGCTTCATCGACTATACGAAAGCATTCGACAGTGTGGAACTGAACTCTATTTGGAATGCGCTGCACCATGCTGGTGTCGACCCGTGCTACATAAACCTGCTGGAAAAATGCACCATGGACACATCTACCACCATCCGCATTTTTCAACGAGAGCTACGAGTGCCGATCGAAAAAGGAGTCAGACAAGGTGATACGATCTCTCCCAAGCTGTTCACCACCGCACTCAACCACGCGATGCTGCAACTCGACTGGGACGATAAAGGCATCAACGTCGACGGAAAGAAGCTATCTAATCTACGATTCGCAGACGACATTGTCCTTATCAGTCAGAACTCAGCAGAGCTACAGCGGATGGTGGAGGAACTGAACAACGTCGGCAAAGCTATCGGCCTCACGATGAACCGGAGCAAGACCGAGGTCATGCGCAATGAGTGGGCAGATGCGTCACCCATCACACTCGAAGGCACTGCTCTACCGGATACCGACCGTTACGTTTACCTTGGTCGACTCATCTCCATGGACAACAATTTGCGCGAAGAAATTATGAGACGCAAAAAATGCGCATGGACGGCAATGGGACGCATAAGAGAGGCGGCCGCAGCTCATTTCGGTCAGGAAAATACGAGCTGCTCTACAGTACTGCCTGCCTTTGTGACGCATCGGAGACGTGGGCAGAGAACAAGGCGTCTACGTTGATGTTGACACGTGCCCAACGAGCATTGGAACGGACGAAATATCAACCGCCGTGAGCAGAGATCTGCGTAGTACAGACATGCGCTCAATGTCGGGCATCCTTGATGCCGTAGTATACGCGTGGAATGCAAAGAAGAGATGGGCCGGACATGTGGTCAGACGTACGGACGATCGCTGGACCACTCGCATCACACTCTGGTATCCGAGAGACGCGAAGCGCAAGGTTGGCCGCCCTGCAACCCGTTGGAGAGACTCCTTGAAGCAACTCCAAGATTTTGCAGACCAACACTGGATCCAAACCGCTCAAGATCGCAAACAATGGAGGGAAGCGTGCTCGTCGCTGAAGAGAACCGGCTGAAGAACGAGCGTCCAAGTATCCAAGCAAGTAAATATCCGAAATATTTCACGAACGGGGGAAGACATAGATAGTGAGTGGGTAGAACGCGGTACAGTACATAGATAACGTTGAGAAGTCGTCTTCCGTTTCCCAGGAATCCTTCCCTGGAAAAAAAGATTATGTTTGGAAAACGCACTCCCCCTCTTCAACAGTCAACGCTCCAGCGCCTTTTGCGCTCGGGTCGCAGAGCGGGCCACGTTAGGGGCTGCTACTTTCCCTGAGAGATTTATGCGCAGATTAAGGCCGATGTCCCGGCTTCTCACACTGACAAAGGTAATCTAGGACTAATTCATACAATATTAGTACGTAATTACTGTTATTTTGTTTTATTCAAGTATTTATATCAAAATTGTGTGGGCTCTTCATGTAACAGTTTATAATTCCACTTAACAAAATTGAGGTACCCGGATATGTCTTGTGAAAGCACCTAGGGGTAGTGTTTTTACTTATTGTTTTTATTTGATGATTTTTGTGGTTAGTTGCTATCCAATAATCTCCCGGCGGGCGGAGTCAGTAGCCTCCCTCGGCTGGTCAGCAGGCAAATCGTTACTTATCTTTCTTTCTCGTTGGTTCCAGTAGTTAGGGCGGCAGCAGAGGGAGGAAGTCGTACTTGGAACTAGTTTAGGGGGGGGGTCGTACTGACACCACCATTTAACACATCACGATGCTGTATCCTGTTCCAGTGAGCTCCCACTAGAGCCTAAAGAGATGAATCCGCCATTGGTCATCGCTTTTGGAACTTTTGGAACTTTCTTTTTCTTTTGGAATTTTCCAATTATGTATATGTCCTGCTAGCATTTTAAAGGCACAGTTCGCGACCGCAAATTGCGGGAAACGGAACTCAAATAGGCACAAAAAAGTGCTAAGTATCTGATTAGCGGAGAAAAGCAGCAGAAAAAGCAGTCCGAAATGTTATAGAGAAAGATAACATAGTGGCTACTAGCTAGTAGCTAGCAGCCGGTGAGGGTCGGCATGGGCCTAAGGGGTGTCCATGGGCCTAATTAGTCAGCTTCTAGCGGAGTTCTTGCCGTTTTCACATTTTGAAAGTAGCGCAGCCTCAAAAATCGCCTTCCGGATCGTCCGACACATTTGAGAGGTCATAGCCTTATTTTATCGCGGAATGTGCCTTTAAGCCGAGTACCGGTCGTTTAAATTACTCCCGCTGGCGACCACACAATTGTTGAAGAAAGGCTCGCGCTAGGTCAAACCCAGCAACTGACACGAACCTGCGTCTGTAGCAAAAATGCAACAGCAGACTCGCATAGCTGGAATCTGGCCAGGTAGCCACTCCTTCCCAATCGCGAAGCTTCATTGTTGTCTGCCACATACAATATTCAGATTTATGTACCGGACAACTTTGATGAGTGCTCTTATGTCAACGATCTAGCAATAATGGAATTGGAAACTCCCGTATCCGAAGTGCTAGCAACGCCGATTTGCTTACCAAACAAATTCACGAAGCTCGCCACTACGCTTCAGCAAGCTGGAATTGGATTTAGAGGCCGTATGTTAACGAAATTTTATTTCCTTAACTGCTAATCACCATCATGTTTCAAGCCGCCAACAAGTTTTCAACATTATTTCCCAACGGCTTCCACGTGGTGGGCGTCACCCCAGAAGAGCTAATTTTAAAAAAGAAGCAGATTGCTACTACCGCTCCTCGCACTGTTGGAATATGCCCTGTAGGTCCTTCTAATTGAGTAGTTAGAGTATTCATTTTCGCTGCAGACGCTGAGGCATGAGACGATGCTGAGATTGGCGCGGTGCCAGCCTGTTCTCCACCATTTGTTGCTGCTTGCCCGCTTCAAGCGTTGATGGAGAACAGGATCGCGCCGCGCCATACCACCCCTGACACGCTCCAGCGTCTAAAGCGAAATCTACAGTGCATTCATCAAAATGTTGCTCATGATGTTTAGGGCGACAGCGGAGGTCCACTGTTTCAAAAATATGGTCAAAAGAATACTATTGTCGGAGTGCTGTCAAACGGTGGTTCGTGTGCCCCGAGTGAGTATTTTCCTTCAGCGAGGCAAGTAGGAGAAGTCAACTTCTGCCTTCTTGAGAAGGGCGATTTTAGGACTAGTATCAGGATCTAAGTAAGCGTCAGTGCTCCCCCAAAAGTGCTAGAGTTTTGTAGCTGTGTATTTCCCCTCATCGCCTAACTGAAAAAAGAGCGCCGACAATTACCTCTGTGAGAGCTACACGTAAGGCGAATTCCTACATCTCCATTTCGGTAATACCAGTTTTGCAGTCCCCGAATGTCTCCTTCGCTTGAAGATGCGCTCGATGTTCGAATTCATATCGTGATCATTGCCATGTGCAAGATGGACACACTTGTATAGAGACCCTTTTGTCACTCGAAAGTGAGGCAGGAGGGTAGCGAGGGAGATGTTTTCCTAGTATCGACCGCCATCAAAGCATGCAGTTGCGAAACTGCTGCACGACCACTTGGCAACAATGCCTTCTCTACGCTATTCCACGGGTCTTCTATTACTATCGCTAGGAAAAACGGTGGGTGAGTTCAATGAAGGTAGGTTGGACCAGGTGAGGAACGACGGCATGAGCACGGTCGTTAGTGGTTCTTATGCCACCAGAGTGGTACAACCTTTGTCACTGCAGACCAAGGTGAGGTATAGGGATTTCCCATTGGTAGTCTGTCTTGAGCACCGCATTGCAGCACCGGAAAACCACCCAAATATTTTACTGTCGCGAACAGAAGTTTCGCAGGGCAGAACTAGTTCCGAACACACTGCGCGATAGCGGCAAACGGGGGATTCTATGAGCTAGTGACTTCACACCACCTACTTTGCGCGCGCTGACATCAGGGGTGCATCAGTGCACCTGCTGGTTTCGTGAGAGCAAGAAGAAATGAACTGTATCCTCGATCGAGACATCTTCAACAGACCATCCCTCTGTCATGTCTGTACCAAATTCTCACGTCTGTGTGAACGTGAGACAAACACCTTGATCAGAACCCACAAAGAACAACTGAGCGTTCCGATCCCCAGCATTTAACTGGAAGAGTATCCACATCCGACATGAAGAAAAACACGGGAAAATCGCAAATTTGAAATGCTCATGAACAACTGAGACACTTGAGCGCCACTGGGTACTTAATAAAATTTTCTTCAACTTGCAGACGATCCAAAAAAGAAAAGAGCTCCCAAAGAGCTGTACTATGACTTCTTCACTGATGTACGAAAATTCAGGGGCTGGATATGTCGCATCTCAGGTATGACGATCGCTTTTCGACAAACTACACAACCATTTAATCTCTGCAGCGAATTTCAACTTGTCACAATTTTATTGTGTCTTTACAGGTGTGTGTCCTGTGCGAAGGCGACAGAAGCGATCCCAGAAGCAAAAGGGCGACTATATAGGCGACGCTATCCGCCCTTCACAAGGCTGGAATTGTTACTGCATAATCGGTTATGAAGATTCTCATTGAAAACCACCAGTTTGTTAGCGTAAATCCAGTAAAGATCAAATTTCTCCTGTACTACATATACCAGTTTGGCTGACGCACACTACTGCGCGTCCGGCCGGGGTGCTGATTGCTGATAGGATTTCTGTGCTGACCACTAACACTTGGCTTGATTCCATGTCTCGAAGTACGGCCTTACTGCACCATATTTCACCTTTTTAATGAACATGTCTGATGCTTATCACGTTTCTAAAAACACCCACCATTTGATGGAAATAGGGCAACTTAGCGGTTGAAAGAAGTTCGGTGGTAACATTATCCAAGTCTTGGTGGAAGCTACTTATTTCCTAGCGTTTCCGTTGAGCAGCTTTCAGTCCGTCTGCTGGTGGCCCTTATCACTCCTCACTGACAAACATCTTTAAGCTTTTACTTTTGGAAGAATCTTTAGAGTTTAGCGGTTGAATCAATTTGGTCTATATAGCTCAAGGATAGAAAGTGCCTGGCTCACCAAGCCTTTGCTCATCGATTCCTGGACCACAGTGGTGAAGCTCAATCGCAAGCAGAGTAGGGAGGGGGACAGATACTAACTCTAAGCCCTTGTCAGGAGCAGTATCACAACATGTCTCTTGCCACCAAAGTCTCCCACCATGTTCGCTAAAAACGTCTGAATCACTTGCTGGAGGGTAGTTCCCAGTGTTGCTACGACTCGTGTTGTTAAGGCTGTTGTGTCCTATCAGCTGTTATAACGTCCTGCCACCCACCGATAAGGTTCCCATCCTGCCCCCTATCGTGGAAACGACACCTTACCGTCGCTGTGGCGCAATTTATAATGTTGTTGAGCTTCCTTTTGTAAGGCCTATTATGGTATCTTATCAGCTGTTATCACTGCCTGCCACCCACCAATAATGTTCCCATCCTGCCCCCTGTCTTACTACTTGGATCCAAGGTCCCGTCGTTGCTCTGGCCGGTGCTATGAACTTGGTGACCCTCCCCTTCTAGAACCCCCTGTGCTATCTTATCAGCTCTTATCAGTTCCTGCCACCCACCGAAAATGTTCCCATCCTGCCCCTATCTCTCTACTTGGATCCAACGCCCGGCCGTTACTCTGGCCGGTGTTATGAGTTTGGTAACCCACTCTTTTTAAGGCTCCTCATGGTATCTTATCAGCGGTTATCACTTCCTGCCACCCACCAATAATGTTCCCATCCTGCCCCCTATGTTGCTACTTGGATCCAACGTCCGGTCGTTACTCTGGCCGACGCTATGAATTTGGTGACCCTCCCCTTCTAAGACCCCCTGTGGTATCTTATCAGTTCCTGCCACCTACCAATAGTGTTCCTGCCCGACCCCCTACATCACTTATCAGTTTGAGCGCTCTGCCGCTCCTTTGAAGGAAGTTATGAAATTTCCGGTCAAACACACACACAACATACACACACACTCACACCAACAGACAAACTTAGCGGATTATATAATAGGATTACATTGGTTAGGGTTGCAGTGAAGGCCAAACATCTCTTCTAGTTGCACCAGTTAGCGTTGCGTTGGTAGATACTACGAAGGGCTTCCGAAATTCGTAGCCGCTAAGATTTATTACTCTACAGAGCGGCACTTCAACTTCTGCATGTAGTCTAATATTCATTTCTTAGATGGCTCTCCTGAAAAAAAAACCGAACGATCGCCTAGAACCGTTGAATAAGCTACACAAAGAATAGGAATCCTGTTATATATAATCCGCCAGATTTGTCAAATTCCTAGCTTTCTTGGCAACAGCGATAGACGCTCAGACTGACTACTAGCTGATTAGACACGAATCTTAGAAGGTGGGTCACCAAATTCATAACGCCAACCACAGCAACGACGGCACATTGGTTTCGAGAAGTAAGATAGGGAGCGCGAAGGTATCATTGTTGGTGAGTGGGCAGAAACAGATTACAGCTGATTAGTTACCATGGGGGCCACATCAGAGAAGAAGCCCACTAAATTCGGTGCACTTGCAATAGCATTGGAGAACTGCTCCCAGCAAGCAATTAAGAGGTGTTTAGCGAGCATTGGTGATAAAGGATAATTCTAGTGTTCGACAAGTGTCTGCATCTATTCGCATATTCACTCCGCTTGCTACTGAATTTGACCACCGTAGCTCAAGAACCAATGGGCAAAGGCTCGGTGAGCCAGATGTTCTATCCTTTAGCGCGATTGATTCAACCGCTAAACTCTCACTAGCGGCAGAAAGTCAAAGCCTAAAATTCTCCGCCACTGAGGAATGATAAGAGCCACAACAGACGGATATGTGAAAGCTGATCAAAAGGAGTGCTAGAATGTAAGGACATTTTACTATGAGTTCGGTACTGTTATCAATGAAACTCTTTCAACCGCTAATCTGTCCTATTTCCAACGAATGGCGAATGTTGTTACCCTTTTCTACTTTATCACATTTTAATGTATTGGGTTGGCACATAAGTACTTTCGTTTTTTTTCAACCGGAAATTTCGTTCCAAAGATGAAATGTTTTGCTAGCAAGCTTGATATCATCTGATAGGAAACTTCACGTAGTTTTAGAATATCAAAACGGCTTCGGTTGAGGGAATAATTTTTGTGGATTTTTTAGTCGTTGAAGTTGAAAGCGAAGTCGGCGAAAATTAGCACCTTCGACAACTGCCTCTATTTACGTATAGTCGAAGTGCTAAAATCGCTTAAGCTGCTCCATACA